ATCAGGAACCTCTGACAACACCGTGAAGATCACAGCACAACTACTGAATAGAAAGAAATAAAGAGCGAGAGGATGATTACTTAAAAAAAAAAAAAAGAAAACCTCTCACAATGGTGGTCTGCTCAACGGCTATTTCCTTTCAGAGCATCGCTCTGAAAAGAACAAATCTGATCAGAGGGACAAGCTGAGGAAATGAGTTCTGGATGAGTAATTTTACAACATGTACTCTATTCTTTTGATACTTAATGATGCCCAGAGGTTATTGTGATTACAGATGCAGTGCTGCAGAGTTTGTGTGCAATCTCAAAATTAGCTTACTAGTTTACTACAGTGTCTTTGCACACACTGCACTCAGCAAATGTGAAGACTGTTTATGCCCAAGGAACTGTGCTGATGGCACTGAGGGTCATGCACTGTGCATGAGTGTGAATGAGTGAATGACTGTCAGACTGCGTGAATTGGCCCAAGGAATTGTTTTGACATTAACTAAGGTCAGCGTGTACGTGTGTGTGTTCTTTACCATGTGTGCTGGTCTCTCTCTTTATCTGGTCCTGCTGTCTCTCTTGACTAGTGGACAGCTGGCATATATTGTCCCTGCAGCTACTAAACATCTTGACATGCATATTCTTACTCACACAAATACACCACATGTAAAAATAGCAGCTTGTTCACCGTTCTCCTTTTTTGCGTTTAAAAGTTTGATTTAAACCCTTAAAGCTAGATAATGAATAAAAATACACCTTTATCTGTTATATTATAGGAAGCTGGTGCACGCACCCTTTCCTCTGGTTGTACATGCGGTTGAGGCGGTCCCACTCGGCATTGAGCTGTGTCAGGGCGTCTGCCATTTGCGCCACCTCAGCAGGCGAAGCGTCCCGGATGGCGTCAGGCTGGCGCTCGTGGATCCCTGTGACCTGCTCGCTCAGACGGTCCAGATTGTCTTTGATATTCTATGACATGAAAACGGAATAATAAAAGAAGAGGAAGTTCATGCAGCAGGCAGATTGCAGAACTGCAAATGTGGTCGCTGGTTATCTGACACCAATTAACGTCAACAATTCCACCCCCAGTCTTATGAAGCTTAAGGGTTCAGTGGTGATGGGCAGTATACAAGATCCTCAGTAAATCACATATTTATTTATTTTTAATAGACAGAACAGCCAGTGTGACTTTTTAAGAAGTCTGAATGAATTCTTTTTCAAGCTTTTTCAGCTTTCTTCAACAGATCAACCATGATGGAACACACCAAACCA